TACTTAGTCAAGGTCACAAGGAAGTGATTCACAAGTTCAGAAGAGATCTCAGTGGGATTGGAATTGAGTTGCCTCCTATGGATAGCATGAGTGAGGCATTTGATCAAATGCAAATGGTCAAGGATGTTCTAGCCAACAGTGATAAAGTTTCAGAGGTCCTGAAGAGTCTACTCATCAGTTCAACCTGCTTACTTCACCCACTTTCCTACCAAAGGTCAAGGATCAAGGGAAATTCACTCTCCCTTGCACACTTGGGCATCTTGAGATTGACAATGCCTTAGTGGATTCTGGAGCAAGCATCAATCTGATCTCTCTCTCCATGGCAGAGAAGCTAGGCATTGCTGGAGCCTTGCAGCGCCCTACTACTTCAATCATGTTTGGAGATGCAACTTCTAAGTCTCCTCTTGGAGTGTTCAAGAACTATCACTTGAAAATTGGAGAATGCATCATCCAAACTGATCTCACTGTGATGGAAATGGAAGAAGAGAAGGATCTACCTCTGTTATTGGGAACCCCTTTCCTTAGTACAGTTGGCGCTTCAATAGACTTTCACAAGCAAGAAGTGATCCTTCACAAGGTGAATAGTTTGGTGTCATATCGCTTGCAGCCTAGAGGTTCAGACTTTTGTGCCACAATTGACAGTACCACTCTCAGTTCTAAGAGTCATGAGCTACAAAGGTTGTGAAGGAAAGGGTTGACAAAGAACCAAGAGTTGGGAAGGATAAGGATGAGAGAGGACCAAGGATTGAGAAGCCACGTCTTGAGAGGGCTAGAGTTGAGAAACCACGTTCTGAGAGACCACGAGCTGATAGACTTGTTCAAGCCCCTTGTGTGCTTGATGAAGAAAGCCTTCAAGCTTTGTTTGATGAGCCACTAGGAAGGGCTCTAAAAGAGGGGAGGATGTAGGGCAAGACCAGGGGATAAAAGAAAGATCCACCAGCTCAGGCCCCTTCAGTCAAGCCATCTCAGCTCACAATGACTTTGTTCCCCACCAAGTTTGAAAATGGGAAGATTGAGTACAAGATAAGGTACAAGGGGAGATCAAGGCCATTCTCTAGAGCCAAGGCCTTGGTGACTTCAGAACAGTCCAGGGACCCAACCAAGCTAAAGGAGCTTCTGTCTCAAGTCCTCACTATCACCCTTGATGGTGGGACTAGCTCAACCAATGCCTAAAAGGTAAAGGTCAAGCTATGGGACCTTAAACAAGCTCACTTGGGAGGAAGTCCCATGTTTATCCTTGTACATATTCTATTTATGCAATTTCTATCTATTTTGTGTCTTTAACCTTTCAATAAGTTAAGTTTAGGTGACAAAGGAGCCAGCTCGACCGACAGCTCGATCGAGCTAGAAACAGGGCAACTCGATCGAGTTCCACAACTCGACCAAGGTAAGTTTTTGAATTCAAATTTCTAACCGTTTTCCTTGGTCAAGGGAGTGGGTCCCACAAGTTGATTTTGGTCCCCCACTACCCTAATTGATCAGAAAACCCTAGCTTTTGTCCCCTCTTTATTTCACTTTTAATCTCAACCACACATCTCAAACACTCCCTCTTCCCCATAACTCGATCGAACCCCTTCTCCACTCTCCCACACTCTAAATTTTCTGAAATCATCTCTCTCTCTCTTCACCACAAGAAAATCGAATTTCTCTCTTTCTCTCTTAAGTTTTTGCGATTTCTTGTTCTTCATCTTGTTTTGCTTTGGTTCTAGTTTACTGTCTTCAATTCATCATTCAAGCAAGGTATGAACCCTAAAACCCTTGATTCCTCCATCTCGATTTCTCTATTGCTTGTTTCCTCTTTGATTTTTGATTGCATGTGCCCCTTGTGGGACTTGTTCTTGAGTAATTGCTTTCATATCTTCTCCTGTATAATTTGTGAATTTGCCTCACCTCACCTCTGTTTTGCCATTAGAACTTGTTGCATGTGCTTAAAAATTGAATTTGAGTTTGGTATTGGTTAAGATGCTTTGTTTCACTAGAATTGCTCATTGTTCCATTTACTAGTGTTCTTGGTTCAATTTGATTGATTAGCATCCTTTCCAGCTCTTAATACTTGAATTAGGTTCGGTTATACTCTGTTTTCACCTAGCTCGATCGAGTTTGTCACTCGAGTTTTTTGACTCGATCGAGCTGAGTGTCGAGTTGACCAAACCGATCATTACAACTCTAATTCTTTGTAATCTTTGATGCATTTCAGGTACTTTAGAAGAAAACACAGTAACAAGGATGACAAACAGTGAGGGAAGTCGCGCTTCACAGAGGAGAATGGTTGAGGGTGAATCAAGCAATGCAAGGGAAAGAAGGCTTAAGATGCAAGCCGATTTGGAGAGGATGATCAAGAGGATGGAGTCTGATGCAGAGGATATGTCTACTCTGAGAGGAGTCTGAGAGTGAGAGATTGAGGGAGAAAGGAGGACCAAGAAGAGGAATGACCCCATTAGTAGTGAGAGTGAGCAAGGGGAGTTTGAGATTGGAGTGAACCTTGTTCAAGAGGAGGGAAATGGCTCTCCAAGTGAAGAAGGAAGTGATGAGACTGAGAGTGAAGAGGAAGGAGAAGAGGTGAATCAGTTGGTTGATGAGAGTGAGCAGAGAGTAACCAAGATGAACCTATGGAGGAGGTTGAGCCACAAGCAAGAGGAGGAAGAAGAACTCCCTATGTACCAAGAGCACTACAATGCTCTCTTCTCCATGGACTTTGTGGAGACCAAGTACCCACACATGATACAATGAAGCTCTTGGAATCTTTGAGGATGTGGAGTTGGTGCTCAAGAACATGCACTGGAAGTTCTTCTCTCATCGCATGGAGTCTTACAAGGAGCTCACTTGTGAGTTTTTGGCTTCGATGAGGTACCACATGTATGATGAGCTCGATCGAGCTGATTTGGACCAAGGCTGGGATGGATCACGTTCTTGGCAAAGGGAGAGAAGAAGATGGTGACCTTTAGGCAGCTTGAGATACTGTTTGGGTTCACTATGGAGAAGGAACTATGGAACATCAAGGAAATGAACTCCAAAGAGTTTGGGCTACAATCGCTGAGAGGGAGTACTCTTCCTCAAGGTCCAAGGCTGCTCAGATCAGGAGTCCTGTGTTGAGATATGTCCACAAGGCACTTGCCAACACCTTCTTTGCAAGGAAAGCCACTGGACAATCAATGAAGGGAGAAGTAAGCTCCTTGACATGGGAATCAAGCCCATCATCTCACGCACAAGGGATGGGAAGAGATCAGAGGAGACAGGCACGCAGGAACTCATGCCCTCCTTGAGCAGCTCTCTCCTACAAGACCACAGCCTACAACACTATCAACAAGGGAGGAAAGCTTAGTGTTGGAGGGATCACACCATCCTTGTGCAGCTGGAGTCAACTGACAAGAGAAGGTCAACTCCAGGTTGGATGGACATCAAGTTTTGCAAGACCAACCTCCTCATTGAGCACAAGGAGTTGGATGGGAGGTTCCAATTCAAGTTCACACATCCATTGGCTGGCCCTTCCAAGCTTCTCCTGCCCAACCCTGAGCTCACCACAGTAGTCAGGGGTGAGAACATTGACTTCAGACCCCCTGTGTACACATTGGTTGGGCATGAGATTTGAGAAGAGGAGCCTGAGCTCGATCGAGCTGAGGATCGAGCTGAGGATCAAGTCCAGGAGAGTGGATTTGGGTGAGCCTGAGTGCTATTATTTTGAGGAGTATGAGGCTCCAAGGATGAACCCCTCTGTTGTGGCTGCCCACAAGAGGATTGGACTTCTCCAAAAGTTCAACAAATGGCAAGGGAAGGCCATGGAAAAGATGCAAAAGTCCATGGACAAGATGGTGAGCAAGATCAAAAGTTTGGAGAAGAAAGTTTCTGGTTCTTCAATCAAGAAGAAGAAGAACCCATGGCCCCCACATTCCCTAGGAGTAGATCACTTCTCACCACTCCAAGGAGGCTCCCTGCCCAAGAGCCTCACAGAGCCTCTTCTTTCGAGCCAAGGGAAGGAGAAGACAACTCGCAGAGAAGGAGGAAGACTTCCAAGGCCAGACGCTCCAGCTCGACCACCGGACTCGATCGAGTCCAAACAGAGGAAACTCAACTCGGTCGAGCTGACGGTCGAGTTGGCCTTGAGGGGTCAGAATTCGAAGACCCTGGATTTAGGTATGATCCAAGCAAGAGGCGAATATGAGTGCAATTATTCAAGAACAAGTCCACAAGAGACACATGCAATCAAAATTTAACAGTACACAAGCAATAAAAGGAATTGAACTTAAGGAAATTGGGAGCTTAGGGTTCATACCTTGCTTGGTTGATGATTGAATTAGAACAGTAGCTAGAACTAAAGCAATTCAAGATACTGAACAAGGGAGAAATCGCAAAAGCTTAAGAGGGAAAGAGAGATTTTCGGATTTTTCTTAGAGAGATGAGAGAGATGGGTGATTTTCAGAAAATTTTGAGTGTGGGAAAGAGAGAGGGGTAGTGCGATCGAGTTATGGGGAAAAGGGAGTGTTTGAGATGTGTGGTTGGGATTAAAAGATGAATTAAAGAGGGGACAAAAGTTAGGGGATTCTCTGATCGATTTTAGGAAGTGGGGGACCAACATTTACATGTGGGACCCACCCCCTTGACCAAGGAAACGGTTAGAAATTTGAATTTCAAAAACTTACCTTGGTCGAGTTGTGGAACTCGATCGAGTTACCCTTGTTTTAGCTCGATCGAGCTGTCGGTCGAGCTGGCTTCTTGTCACCTAAACTTAATCTTCTGAAACGTTAAGACACAAAACTAGATAGAAATTGCATTAAAAAGTATGTACAAGGATAGTCATGGGACTTCCTCCCAAGTGAGCTTGTTTAAGGTCCCATAGCTTGACCTTTACCTCTTAGGCATTGGTTGAGCTAGTCCCACCATCAAGGGTGATAGTGAGGACTTGAGACATAAGCTCCTTTAGCTTGGTTGGATCCCTGGACTGCTCTGAAGTGACCAAGGCCTTGGCTCTAGAGAATGGTCTTGATCTCCCCTTGTACCTTATCTTATACTCAATCTTCCCATTTTCAAATTTGGTGGGGAACAAGGTCATAGTGAGCTGAGATGGCTTGTTGAGGAAACCTGAGCTGATGGGTTCTTTCTTTTCTCTCCCACAAGTGCCTTTGAGGCTGCATCCTCCCCTTCCTTTTGAGCGCTTCCTAGTGGCTCATCAAACAAAGCTTGGAGGCTTTCCTCATCAAGTACACAAGGTGCTTGAACTAGCCTATCAGCTCGTGGTCTCTCAGAACGTGGTCTCTCAACTCTAGCCCTCTCAAGGCGTGGCTTCTCAATCCGTGTTCCTTTAACAACTCCTTGTCCTTCTCAACCTTATCTCTCACAACTCTTGGTTCTTTGTACCCTTCCTTCACAACCTTTGCAACTTCAGGAGGCTTGGAACTGAGATCATTGCTTTCAATTGTGGCACAAAAGTATGAATCCTCTAGGCTGCAAGCGATAGACACCAAACTATTCACCTTGTGAAGAATCACTTCTTGTTTGTGAAAGTCTATTGAAGCCTAACTGTGCTAAGGAATGGGTTCCCAATAGCAGAGGTAGATCCTTCTCTTCTTCCATCTCCATGACAGTAAGATCAGTTTGGATGATGCATTCTCCTATTTTCAAGTGATAGTTCTTGAACACACAAGAGGAGACTTTGAAGTGGCATCTCCAAACATGATTGAAGTAGTAGGGCGCTGCAATGCTTCAGCAATGTGATATATCCATATCTTTCATGTTTTTATCAAGGTTTTCACTATGTTTTCAATACAAATAATGTGGTTTTTAAGCCCAAGAGGTAGTTTTCTTGTATATTCTGGTTTTGAGCATCATTCAGGTCAAAATAGCAAAGAAGAGTCAAAATGGAGCAAAAAGAGTCAAATCACCAAGTTCCCAAGTCTAGAGCACCAAAATCTACATTTCTCGCTAAAGACCAAACCGGAGCATCCGAAGTACGACCGCATGTTCATGCCTTCCCGACGTCCAAAAGTCATGATTCTTATATGGAAAGATAGATATTTGAGTCATGACCCGCGGCGAAGTGGAAAGAGGTCATTTGGATCACTCGTTGGACCGGAACTTATTTTCTACCAAGACATGTCCGACGAGCGCCTAAGTAGAGCCCATGGAGACTTTGATGGATCAAGAGGCCCGAGATACCGCGCCCAAGGCCTTGGCTCATCTTGACACTAGCATAACTCAATCCAGAAGCTTCCATTGGCCTGAACGCGGCCCATTCAAGAACTTGGAGAGCAAGCTCAAGCGGCTAAAGAGAAATGGAAACTTTCCTCTTCTGCGCGCGCTCAACTTTGCCGACCTAGACCCGCTCTCTACCTATATATACTTGCTTTTAGCCTCTTGTAATAAGAATCACCAGCCGCATAACAAGAAACACTTATTCAATAAAGTTCGGAGCCACTTAGGTGGTCTCCTTCTTCTTTCTTTTCTTCTTTTGCATTTGTATATAGCTTGCATGTTTCAATTTATATAGTCTAGAAGTAGAGATTTCTCCCTAAGGGTGAGGCGTGGTTTAGTCATATTCCGCCGCCTCTCTCTCTAAGGATTCATGAGACTTCATCTACTATCTAAGACTCATTGTTGAATTATGGATCCTTCCAATGAGGACGTGATATAATGGCCATCGAAAATCGATTGTTAAAAGGGGAAACCCTATGGTTCTCCATCTTTATTTATGCTTAATGCCTGTTGCTAGAGTAGCTAACTAGTGACTTGATTTTAGGTTGATATACTCTCCAAAAGCTTGTTATATCTCCGGATATAGTATTTGATGGGCAAATCGTTTTAGGCTACGAAAGTAGACCTAAAGAGTTTTGTGAACAATCATTACTTGGATGTAATGCATGTCTCACTCTACAATGACCAACGAAAGCTGAGCCCATTGGTTTAAGAGACATAGGGGATTGGAACCACGAAAGTGGAATAATCCTTCCTTAGTGTTTTGAGTTCAAAAGAATCGGATTTTAACAAACTTTTCAATCGACTTGGCTCATGTTTTCAAAAGAGTTTTCAATAGTTCAATAATGTTGCTTGTATAGAATTGCATTGTTTTTCTTTTGCGTGTTCTAAACAAACACAAACCCTTGCATTTTGATTTAGCTTAGTCATTTAAACTCTATGATTATGTAATGTGTGAAATCCAATCCCTTGTGGTTCGACCCCTAAATACTACAATTATATGTTGTGCACTTGCAACACTAGTTGTCTTAGGGAATTATTACTTGTACTCATCCCATAGATGCCGCATCACAATGCCAATCGTTTCTGCCATTGTGAGAGAAATGAGGTTGATGCTTGCACCAGAATCCACCAAGGCATTGTCAAGCTCAATATGCCCAAGTGTGCAAGGGAGAGTGAATTTCCCTTGATCCTTCACCTTTGGTAAGAAAGTAGGTGAGGTAAGCAGGTTTATTTGGTGGGTAGACATCTCCATAAGCTCAGAAACCTTTTCCTTGTGAGCTAGAACATCTTGAACAACTTCATTTGCTCAAAGGCCTCACTCATGCTCTCCATAGTAGGTAACTCAACTCCAATCTCACTGAGGTCTCTTCTGAACTTGTGAATCACTTACTTATGGCTTTGAATGAGTAGGCGGCCTGATGATGTATCAACTGGCTGGTAAGGATCAAGCAAAATCAGCTTGAGGACAGAAGGTGTCTGACTCGATCGAGCTAAATTTCGACTCGATCGAGCTGCCGATCGAGCTTGTTCTGCGAGCTCAACTGGTGAAGTTTGAAAGGCTACAGTAGGTACTTGCACCTCAACTTGATCAAACTGGACTCCAGGAGCCTCATCAACAACAATCTCCTCGTCATGCAACAACAAACAAAACTCTTCCATGACTCTCTCTTGATCCTCTTCTTCATCAAGACCTTCTTGAGTGAAGATGACCTTGCACTGTTCCTTGCGGTTCTGAATGGCCTTACCAGGTAGATGTCTTTGCTTTGTAGTAGCAGAAACAGAAGAAGCATGATTCTCAAGAGAGTAAACTCTTGTGTTGAGATTCTCAATCTTTCAGTTGATTTCAGCTAACTTTTTGCTTGTGTCCACTACACCATCAGCTTGCCCCTGAAGCAATTTCTGACTAGGAAAAGTCCCTTGAGGGCCTTGGTAGTTGTTTTTAGGACCATACCCATGTTGTTGGGCTTGACTCGATCGAGCTTGCTGTTGTTGAAGATAGACCTGGTCCTGAGGGTTAGCAACATCAGTGTTTCGGTATGACATGGCTGAGTTGGACTTGTAATTATAGTAGCCTTTGTTGTAACCTCCTTGCCCATTGCTCATGTAGCACACTTCAGCAAATTGTGTATCCTCCCTTTCTTGGACTGGTTCCATCTCTTCAGTAGACACAAAATTGACCTTCTTCATTGTGGACTGAGCTAAGATAAGCTTATCCAACTTCTCATTCAACGATTTGACATCTTTACGCAATTTCTCATCCGACTCCATCGAGTTCGCATACACCTACAAAAAGAATCAAAAACCCAGCAATACAAAGAACAGGGGTGGGATAGCTTGATCGTCCAAGTGTATTGGAAACTCAAATGCAACAATATTCAACCCAAATGGCAACGGCGCCAAATTGATGATAGGATTTGTGTGTGGATGTGATGATATGTATGAAATGAAATGAGGTGGAATGCAACAGTGGTATATGAAGATGAGGTGGTAGATGCAAAACACAAACACAATCAATCAATTCCCTTAACCATCATAGTCATTGAAGTATAAGGGGTATCAATCCAAAGGGTGAAATTTACTCTATGAGATATGCAATAACAAGGAAGTCAAGCAAGCAGTAAATAGATGATAGTAACTAACAACCTAATGAAACAGAAATGCAAATGCATAAGTAAAGAAAGCAGTAAAGCAAGCAGCTCGACCAAGGACTCGAGTCGAGTGGGAACAGAGTAACCGAGCTCGATCGAGTTAGGGTCGAGTTGAAGTAAAAGCGATAAAGGCAGGAACTTTAACAAGCTAATGCGAATATTAGGGTCTAAGACAGGGTCTTACAATCAGAGGAAGGCTATACTTAATCAATCTTGCTCTCAAACAACTTGTATCAAGGTATCTCTTGATATTGAGCTTCTCAATGCCTAGCTAACCCTTTCCCAAGGTGAAAGCTATCAACCAAGCATGATCTCAGAAACAGGGGGTTAGCCAGTGAGAATCAAGCCTTGGAGGCCATAGGATCATTGCTCAAACTAATCCATCCAACCCTATGAACTCCATTTCGAGAGCAAGAGTTATTGGAGCTCTTAGTGGACCTTTTCCAACGATTTCCATCACTTCCATGTGGAGAATCGCCTATGACATACAAGCCAGGGGTAGTGGTCATGTAGCCTTAAGGTTTGTCCAAAAGAGAGAGATTTCTAGATTAAGAACATAAGCAAGAAGGATTAAGCATAAAGATCCCCTAATCTAGCCCATCTTTGACCCTAAGGAAACTACTCACTACACATGAATGTAAACACAATCAAATGCAATGAAATAGACATAATATGAAAGAGGAATAAAATAAACAACTTTTATTGAAATAAGCAAGTGCAAATACAAAAGATAAGCCAAGATCTAGGATTCAAGAGCAAGAGCTCAAGAACACAAAGAGAGGCTAGGGTTGCAAAAAGTAAAATACAATTAAAAAAGCTAAAACTAAAAATAAGCTAAAGATTGTTGTCTTTTTCGTGGCTTTTAGCCTTTAAATACAAGAGATTAGGTTTAGGGTCAAAGGAAGTCAAGGGGGAAGCAACATTTTTCGGGTTTGACTGTTGACTTCTCAGCTCGATCGAGTTGAAGCTTGGCCGGTCGAGTTAACTCGACCGGATGGTCGAGTAGGTGGTCGAGCTGGTCTTCAAGATGACTTCCTCCTTCTTCCTTTGCGTATCCAGTTGAGCTGCGTCCATGCACCAAGTCCTTCCTTGCTCCTCACGTCCCATATGCTCCAAAATGCTCCAAAAGACCTATTTCAAAGGACCAAACATGCATATGTATGCAAATGCAACCTAAAACTACTATGAATGCACAAGAAGGGAAAAGGAACAAGATATGATGCTAATGGATGCTAAAACTATGCAAAAGATGCATAAAAGATGTACTAAAACTATGTAAAATGCAAGTACAACAAAGGCGTCTTCGATATTGGTGCTGTCCCCGGCTCTAACTCAATCGTGAAAGGATCAGACCGAGATGGTGGTAATCCCTTCAGTGACAGAAAGACATCCTCAAACTCCTGGACAACCTCAATATCTCCCATAACAACTCCACCTTTTGACTTAGACATAGAAATCGTCGCCAGATACGCCTCACAACCTCGCTCTAGCAACTGCTCAGCCTGAATCGGAGATATCACAATACTCCCAGAAGTCGGTCTCACTCCCTGATAAACCAACCTCCCTGCATCCCGCTGAAAGACGACCCTGCCTCTGTAACAATCCCGGATTGATGACCAAGTATGCTGGCATTGACTGCCCCGCAATCTCGATCTCTACTCCTCTAGTGATCGCGGGATCAGGTCTTCCCCTTTCCTATCCCTGATTCTGCAAGTGCACAGGTCAGAAGTAGTAAACGGGTATCGAACACAAGGAGCAGATAAGTACACTTCGAGTATTGCAAGTCTAATATAGCTAGAGAACAAGTATGATTTGGGGTTTTCGATTGTGTAACAAAAGAAATCAAGCAGCAGTTTAAACGGTTTATGAAAATCAATTAAAGGAAACGCTAGGCAATGAGAAGCTCGCAGAATTCAAAGTCAACAAGATATTAGAAGGGTTCGCTATGGTTTGCGCTATCCAGAACTCAGGTCACGATTGTATGATCTTTCCACTGTCGAGGCTCCGACCCCTTTGTTAATCTACCTAGTCGCTAAACTTTTGGTATGTCCCTAGATGATTAAATCAAGCAATAATTCGTTCAAGACTCAATTGTTCACAACCCCGCATAGATCAACTTTCGCAGTCTATGAAGTTTTGCTCACCAAATACTTGTTGTGGCAATAACTTATTTCAAAACCCAATCCTATATATATAAGGGACATGTAAGTTATTAGATATTTGAAAGTGGGGAAATATTTAATGTTATATTGTTATCATAGGGTCCTATAGACAAATATGGCTGCCTTAAAATACTAATAAAATTTTATTTTATACAATCGAATGGGGACCAACCACAAAACTGGTATTAGTTTTTTTCCAATATATATAAGGTAAAAACAAGATTTCATAAGGATCTATCACTATACGAAAAAATGAAGTGGGTGATTTTATTTCCACGTGGCAAAGGACCATATTTGGGTAGTGACGTTAGGCGGCGGGAAGCCGACAATATAGATGAGATCAGCATATCGTGACGTGGCATTTTCGAGGCAATGTTTAAGTAACTATAGTACTGAAAGACTGAAAGTCTGAGAGAGTTGACTGAAAAAAGAAATGTTTCTCGTCTTATGTGGATATTTTGATAAATTATCATAACAACAAATATACAGCGTATCATGTTAAAGCTTTATTAAAAATAATCTGACGACAAAAAAATAACTTTATATATAAGAACTAAAAGTTCATCCCTCATAATAACAATAGAGTAAAAGTTTCGTAACGTTGTTTTGAATAACATCTGATGGATATTTCGGATTTTAAGAGAAAAATAAAATAAAATGGTGCATCATTTCTTTTTTTTTGATAACCAGATGCATATATATGTTTAACACGGAACTTATTACTTGTAATATTTATGTTTACCAAAAAAAAAAAACTTATTAGTTGTAGTAATTAAAATTAAACATAATGGTTATAACCAGATGCAAAAGGTTAGATCCTGTTATACTATTGGACATCTATTTGACTATTTCACCAAATTCTTAATTATAAATATGTTTCACAAAACTTTTTAGTTGTAGTATAAATGTCCAGCAATTTTTTTGTTTTGGACAAACAGATATGTCCAACAAATTTAACAACCATTAATTAAGGTATACAACAATGTTTTGCGTTGAGCTATACAAAAAGATTATTCCTGAGATACATACATACTACGAGGATATAAAAAAAAAGATTGGCTAGTTTGTAGTTATCAAATCTGTAAACGAAGTTTAAAAATCAATATATATATATATATATATATATGAATTTTAAGATGAATTTTCTAGACAATATTTGTTGTTTTACAAAGATAAATTTTCTACCTTTTTGATGCACTTTTTCAGTTTTCAAGAAACAATAATTGTATTTGTTAGATTTTTATTGGTTTAAAATCATAGAAAATTGTTTTATTGCAAAAATCTATACACTAATGATTGGAAATCAGCCTTTTCTTAATATGTGTGAAAAGTCTAGAAAATTTATAAAAAAAAACGGAGGGAGTAATAAACTAATAATATAGCTAGATAAAAATCAATATGTCCATCCTTAAACACGATTGAATTAGGTCGCAGTAACCACAAAATTCATTATTGCCAACTATGGTTGAAACATGTTCATATTACAGGGGCGGATGTACGTGAAGAGGTAGGGGGTCAGCTGATCCCTACTACTTTGATAAATAAAAAAAATTATATGTACTTGTATTGTGTTTAATGGTTTATTTAGTTTAAATGTTATCATTTGACCCACTTGTCCCAAGTTCAACTCTTCTCTTCATATATTTATTTTAATATATGATCCTGGTACAATATAATCCTAGCTCCACCCCTGCATATTACCATATTTGACCGACTGACTTAACCATTTTTACGGTTAAAATCGTTTTGTTTTTAAAAAGAACATAATGGGAAAACAGATGGATCGAACTGTGGCCCCGAGGGAGTGGTCTCTTCTTAATGTGCCGACAGCCAGTACTCTCCATATATTTAAATTTGCACAAAGAACAAAATAGATATTTCTCAAAACCAACCCTAAACAGAAAAAAACGAAAATCATTGGTCAGAGAAACAAACATTATTGGTCAATTTATGGTTGGAGAATAGGGTTGTGTAATAAATATGGATTGCAACGTCACAGTATTAGCTAAACCAAATTGACTTTTTTTTGTTTTTCTCTCTCTTTGTGGTTCTCTTAAAAGACCGGAAATTTTTGATGATGTTTCCCCGATACGACCGTTACATTTGACAAAAAAAAGAAGAACATATATACAATTTATAAGCCTGAAGGCTGCATTTGCTAACGGCGCCAAACTAAATTGTATAACAGAGATCCTTGAAAGGATTACCGGATAATATAAGCCCATGTTTCATTTCAATTTTTGTGTCTCTTGGTTTGTGGTGGAGAAATTATAAAAATAATCTGCGAAACTGTAACACAAATAAATAGTTGAAAATCTATTTAAAAGAAACAAAAAAATATATTTTAAAGATAATTAGTGATTTAGTGTATGTGAAGCAATCTTTTTATTAAATTTGAATAATAATCAAATAAACTTGAAAGTGATTAAACATTCATTACATACATTCCGTAATTATAGAAAAATTCTAGCCACAAAATGAGTTAGTTCAAATATATTGATATGAATGTATTGACGTTTTGTTAGTTTTCGTGATTATTTTTGGCGTTTTCAGCATCTGCTACCACTTGAGGATGCCTATAATTGTTTAGAAAAGTATTTCTTCATTTATTTGATATAAAAGAAAGGTATTGTTTGAGCGTATAATATGCGTCATATGACAAGTCTCTTTATTGTTTGTTGTCCACACAAATTCTTGCACAGTTTTAGTTTAAATTTATGTCTCATGAATTAATGGATCGTATTTGTTAATTTGTAAGTCTTGTCCACTCATATATTTATACTCAACCAATAATAGCAAGACGTGAATTTAGTATAATGATCAGAGTGGACGTTCATAACATTTCTACCTCAGTTTCATCTTTTCATGATTTTTTTTCTTTCTTTTAAATGTGCTAATTACTGATGACAGAAACAAAACAAGTCGTTTTCATTTGGTTGTAACATAATTATTGATATATTAGAAAATATGTAATATTTTGTATGACCTTATGCAACTCTTATCATCATATCGTATAATGAATAGGATGAGACTACATACTATAATCCAGTTATATGGCATTATATAGTGTTACTTTCCGAAATTTGACCCTTTTCCCCCAAGATTTTACCTCTTAAATGTACAATACTAAGTCGATTGATTCGATTTTTGCTATTAGCCAATGATACTAAATTTGATCTAAGTACGTAGAATGTCCTATGTGGGTATGTTATTAATCTTAAGAGTGTAATTCAGTTCGAAATAGATATAGTTTTCTTTTCTTCCAAAGCGTATGAAGAATGTTGTTAAAAAAAAAAGGATATGGACCTATATATATACGGGACAGTTCAATTTTTTCTATATTAATTATCTTTGATTTGGAATTCCATAAAATATAACAATTAGTATTGTTAAATTAAGTTTGTCAATGATATAATGTACATATTAATCAGGGCAGAAAGTTACAATACCCACAACAACAACAAAATATATTAGTCTATCATATGATATATGAGGCACATAATACAAAGGGATGAGTGAATCGATCTGTAGTAGCTTGGCTGCAATATAAAACGCCATACAAGATGTAATGATATGCTGCATAAATGCTGTTTTAAAAGTTAATCATGATATTAAACTATAGAATTAAATACCAAAATTAGTTGGGATGGCTATTATCAGGATCATTATTCCTTAAGGAATACTCTTCTTTATATCACGATGAACATTCTTTAAAAATGTTGGAACATTAATATGTGATATGACACGTCACAATTGACTATAATAACTAATTTATATGATTTCATTTTTGAGAACCTTCTTCTTTTCTACACACATTTTAGTTTAACGTCAAGTTAATCTTGTGTATATTTTTGCTAAAATTAATTTAATTTAATCAGATCATGACTAAATTTCGGCTGTTTATTATATCTTTTGTTTTTCGACGCCAAATTTGATACATCTTTTCTAGTTTCCACTGCGAATATTTTCAGTTATTTTTACTAAAAAGTTCGATCATTGAAGAAATTCGGATCACCCTTTAAATAAAACACACGTAGGAAAAACTATGTTGAGGCATGCGATTTCGTACGATTTCCATGTGCTATGAATGGAAAATATGGCTATTGATTTTTTCCACATTACAAAAAAATGGGAGATAAAAGTTTGATAATCTTGAAGAGTGTTGAAAGCGGACAAGAGCATGCGGCCGAGACAAAAATATAAAATGTTTTTGTCCATTAAAGTGACTGATGTTTGACCTCAACGTCCAAGTGCATTACCCCTTTTGTAACATATACATACATACATAGATTCACAGCCCACATTTGTAATGATACAGTGACATCATAATGATAACAAAATTCATTCACATTATTTCAAGGGTCACCTTTGTTTTTATTAGAAAATTTTCCTAATGTAGTTATCATAATTATGATAAAACTTTAAACACAATTAGCTTCTAACTTTCTTAGGACATTTTCATATAAAATATGAGGTGGATAAAGATCACAATTCAACATATCCCCCTAATGAGAACTTGAGAGTTGAGACTGTCGGTAAAACAGATACGTTTTTTTTTTGGTAGAGTAAGAAGGAAACAATTAAAATTTTAGATAAATGAACCGTCCTTCAATAATACAGTAACATTTTTTTATATGTATAGTAGTAGGTGTTCAGGGGTTTTCGTTTTCTTAATTTCTATGGGTTGAAGGCATCTAAACGTCACTTTTAGCAATCATTTTTAACTTAACGTTTGCGGTGTCTTTAGAACTATATGGCAATTATATTAATGTAGAAGAAAATAAAAACATTAATTTAAATACAAAGTATTTAGAATATATATTTATCCAAAAAAAGTATTTACAATATATATGGCCATAAATACTCTAGATTGATTTCAGTTTTGTATTTAAGTTAGATTGAATTTCTAGAACCACTAGTCTCTCGTTTCATGTCCCTTTTCAGTTCCCCATTCTTCGTTTCTTGTTTTTTGACCAGAGAAGCAAAACAGAATCTATATATTAATTTAGTAAACTAGTAATTTAAAATGGAGCACTGGAATGTAATTTATTAAACTAGTAGTATTGTAACCACTGGAGTATATCACAACTTGGTTAACAAACAGAGAGAGCAGGTCACAACTTGAAAATAAGATAATAACATCTAATAGCTAAGACTAGAGAGAAGGTGCATGAACAATCTAATGATCCCTTTTTATTTTATTTTTTGTTCTGCTGTCACTTTAATACTTTGTAATGTCCGACCCCTTCCCTGCTAATAGCGAAGAAGGTCAAAGGTAAGATCCATAATTTTATTATTACTATAATCCTAGGTATTTTGTTTTTGTTTTTAGTTTTCTTAACAGAAAAAAAAAAACCACAAGCATGCATGCGATTCAATGTCCCCACTAAGATAAGGATAACTATGATAAAACTTAGTACATTAACTTCTGATTAGTGCACTTAACAAGTATTAATATTAAATTCGTGGTGGAAACAATAATAACTGATCAACTTGCTAAAGGTCAGAAAGATTGCTATTTTTATCGCTATACCTTCAATAGATTGATAGGTTATATGTTACTATTATTTAAAATATTTTGGCAACAGCAAGGTCTTTCGTTTGGCACACACACAAAAAAACAGCAAGGTCCTTGTTTTATTATTATTTTTACTATCCTTTTCAATATTCTTTTTAATATCAAACGTTGTAAGAAAATTATATATAATAGACGTACAATATAACATTGATAAAGTTTAATACAAAATTTTATATCATTTCAACTGATTTTTTTTTCATCATATTTTACTATCTCTTTGCAAGAACTGAGATTTTTCTTTTTGTTATTTCCTCATAATATATATATATATACAGTGGGGTTAGCATTTCATTTGTACATGCATGGATTAATAAGTTCCAATATAAAATAGACAAATAGTTCCCAAAATAAAAGGAAAGAAAAACTAAATTATTCACCGATTAATAATGACGTCTAATATTTCCAACAAATTTAGATGCTTTCTAATATTTCCAATATTATTCACCGATTAGATGCTTTCTAATATTTCCAACAAATTTCAACTTGGTAGAAACTAGAAAGCAATCCCCACGAGGCCTAATTCGAACAGCTTTTATTTAATCTTCACTTGACCTTAATGAGTAATTCAAACTCAAGAACTATATAATATTTGTAACCATCTAGATCTTTAACACAGAAAGACCATATACGTTGGATAATTTAGTTTGTTAGGCCAATTTTAAAAGCTGTTCAACTGGGCGGTTTGAATAACTGACCTCTTACGTTGTAGTTTCTTCTTTCCTTAAATAACTGAAATTAATATATAGAATACAATTTGAAATATCATTACGCTACGTTTACAAAATTACAAATGATCTTAAGTTAAATGTCAAAGCATGATAATTCTCAACCGGTTGTAAATTTTGATGGTGCTATCGAATTTGGATATGAATCTAAAACTTTTAAAAAGGTTGCAATCTACAAATTTCGAAAATCAAGTTCGAAGTTACTTTCTTTGTTGTTTTTGTGTGTGCGCGAAGTTGATGTAACTTTTGAAACGATAAACCCAAACCGGATGAAACCGGTTGCCATGTCTTGAGTTCTTGACATATACAGATATACTTTATCGATCTATTATAGCAAATGCGGCATCGGTTTAATGGTTAACAATAACATTACGGTATCATACCTGAAAAATCAATTAAAAGAAAATATCGTAAGATTCCGGTGTATAACATTTTCTTACCACTCTAATCCTATAAGGCTATCTTAAGTACTTAACAATGAATATGATTGATACTCTAACTGAGTTTTAACAGAATGTCAAGAAAGAAAACAAAATTAACTCAAAATAAGGTTTACGAGTCCTACCATAAATTAATACGTTTCAGAAAGATCTAGAATATTCTTTATTCAAGGCGTTTATCCGTTGAAACTTATTGAAAGCAAGAGAAAGTTGATACATGCATGCATCTCCATTTAGAGCACGTGTCTATTAACTTTGTCATGACTTAGTCATCAGTCACATGAGCAAATCAGAAATCTTATAGTAAAAGAATTCTCCAAATGCAATAAAAAAGTGAGAAAGTACGCATTAAAAAACAAACAAATTTGAGAAAATATATATAAATAAATAGGATAGTATGCAAAAGGAGAGGCGGCGCTAGTGTTCTGTAAGCAAACTGTATCAGAATCATTTAGTTTGTTCCTCTCTGACTCTAATCTCAGTCCTCTGTACATCGTTGAACGCCGGCGGCCTTAAATTTCGGTTTACATATTACAGTTTTTCAATAACGATTCTAGGCTAGAGTTTGGTAATGTTACAAATCTGTAACGTATGTGGATGTGCAACGTAATGAACTGAAAACTAATAATTTTACCAAAAAAAAAAAAAAAACTGAAAACTAATGCAATAAGTTTGGATAAAAGTGGATTTTTTCTTAGGAAAATTATTTCAACAATTTGCAATAAAGTCAAAAATTCATATGATTAAGGAATTTCAGTTAAAGGTAAAGCTAAAGCTAGCTAGGGTCAGAAATGTAACCTTAAAAATATAGGCTTTTTCGTGTTTGACCAATTTCAACTATGCCTCAAGTTGACTCTAATGATCTTTTTTGTTCATAATTGGTTTACTAATTTGGACTGTTATAGATGCAAACAAACTAGGGATGGGTCGTTTTTTTTCGTTCTTCTTTTGATATATTTTTAGTTCGCATTTGGTTTACTAATTTGGACCAGCAAGGATGTAATTTAGGACCAAACTTTAAAATAACTGACCATTAATAACCGAGAGAAGAGAAAAAAAAACGATTCTAAAAAACTACACTTTCATAAGTCATAACTGAAGTAAAAGTAACTATTAATCATATGTTTAGAGACGTATCAGGTAAAAGTAAAACATAGTGCTTGATGGGCCAAAAGAAGCTTGAGCTTGAAGAGTTTAGAGGCTTCTCACTTCTTGGGCAAAGGTAAAGCCTTTGCAGGAATCTTACTTGCTGAAACACCACCTCGAGCCTTCAATCGCAGTTCCTCAAGAAGTCTCTTCGCTTCTTTCATTTCATCTTTCGCGCTATCTCCATGATTGTCCCAAGCATCGATCACTCGCTGTTGAAAGTCCACTGCAAGGCTATAACTGCAAAAGCAAACAATGCAATGATCAAGGACACTGAACACTTTCAAGACAAACACAGATTGTGTTTTAACATAAATTTTTACTTACTTTCCCAATCCTGCGTAAGCTTTAGACAGATTCTGACAAGCATCGATCGAATCAACATGGTTAGGACCAAGTGAAACATCCATTATATCTTTAGCAACAGCAAACATCTGAGCAGCGGATTGTGGTCTTCCAAGTTCTAAGTAAGCAGCACCAAGATTGTTGTAAACATAACCAACTCCAAAATGTTTAGCACCAAAGCTTTCTTTCAACCTCTCAGCTGCACTTTCCAAATAAGGAACCGCTTGAGAGACTCTCCCAGAGAACAGAAGCAACCAACCAATCCTAGCCGAAACACTTCCTTCCGAATGCTGCTCTTGAGGAAGCGTCTCAAGTATACTCAACGTCTTCTGCAGCAACGAAATCGCCGTTTCAAACTCGTTCATCGACTCGTACTGCATCGCCACCTCTGAGTACGCTTCAGCGACTTCCACAGGAGAAGCTGTCTCTTTCTTCTCCAAGATCTCGCAAGCAAACTCCAAACACTTCTTCGAATCACCAAACTTCTCCTGGTTCACCAGAGCTTTCGACATCGATATAAACACCATAGCTCTCATCTCACTATCCTTATCAGTCTGCTCCACAACGCTCTTCAACACATCAATCGCTTCCTCGTACTTCCCCAACGCAACCTTCATGTTCGCAGCGTCAATCTCCGCACGAATCAGCTCAAGTTTCATCCCCCAATTCTTCAACACCCTCTGAGACAATCTGTTCTGCTCCAAGGCCTTGTCATGCTGATCCAAACCGCTATAGATCACACCGAGAAGTCTCCGATCCTGCGCAACCTCAGCCGAATTACTCCCCAACTCCTTCTTATGAATCTCCAACGCCTTCAAAGCATAAGGCAAAGCTTCATTAAAATTCAAAACCGCAACATAAGCATCAGCTAAACTCCGATTCGCAACACCCATCTCTTTACTATCTTCCTCAAAAGTCATCTCCTTTAACTCCATACTCTTCTTCAGATTCTCAATAGCTTCCTCTCTCCTTCCCATTGCGTTCTTAACATTAGCAAGCTCGAGCTGCACGGCGTGTAGAACCGGCCTAAGCTCTTCCAAAAGACAATCACCATCCGCCTCTAACTTGACAAGAATCCGATTCGCTCTGTTGAGGTAACCTAAGCTATCGCTAAACCGTTTTAACCCGAAATTAGCAGAGCCCATCAATTGCAACGCCATGGCAACAAGCAGAGTAGGTTTGTATCCGATTACATCGAACGATTTCAGAGCTTTATCAGCGTAAGATAAAACCTTTTCGGGATCCTCACCTTGGCGATCGAGATGGAGACCTAGTTTCAGAGCGGATAAACCTAGCTCGCTCCCTTCGAAAGACAACTCCATCTCCTTGAACAGACGGACCATTTCGTCGGTGGTCTTCGCTGACTCGAACGCCTCTTCAAGGTCGTTTTTTTCCTGGTCGATTATCTCGCTTGGGGTAATCTCCGTCGGTTCCTCGACATTAGTGTTGAAATTCCGACTTGGGTTCTCCAGGAACTTGCTCTTGTTGATGATCGAGCCATAGGCTCTGCAGCAAGTGGAGATTCCGCGCGACGGAGCAGCAGCAGCAGCAGCATCGGGAATGTTACTCAGGTGAACTGGAAGTGGGATTGCTCTGAATCTCTGGAAATGGAAGCGACGGATTAGAGAAATCGATAGCCTTCTCATGGCGGAGCTTGAGAAATCGCGTCGATAAACCCTCTCTCGTGAAACAAAAACCCTAAAGTATATAATTTTGGAATCACAATTGAATAAAAATACCATTTTAAAGGAACTTTTATTTATATATACAACAACAATAAAGAATTGCATGTAACGTTAGATTGAGAAACATAGCAAAAACTAAAAAATGTTATCATTCCCACATTTTTTTCCAAATCCAGAGAAAACTCTTACAAGCATCTCTTTTATCTTTCCTTTATCACCATTAAGAGAAAAAAAAAGAAGAACAACTTTGAATCAAAAAAAATTAAATTCCTTTTTCTTCTGATTCACCCTAATGAGGTTCTTGATGTTGAAGTTTCTTGAGGCCTTGAACTATATACATCGTCGAAATGGAGATCAATCCCAGCTTCAATGTCGTCGTCATCATCCATAAATGTAGTTCTTGACAACTTTCTTCTTGCATTCTCTCCCCAATCCAATCCTTCTTCTTCATCTTCTTCTTCTCCAATGCTTCTTCTGCTCCATGCGCTGTCTAACAAGTTCCTCGTTGTGTAGTGGTTTATAAAATCCGGCGGCTCGATGAAGCTATCGGCTGTTGCGGGATGAGATGGACCGGTGGGAGAACGATCGCCTCTTCCCCACCACTGGCTCCTACCATCAAGAGGATGATGGTTTCCAAAGTTTTCTTCTCCCTCAGGATGGTGTTGGCGCAGAATGCTCTCTCTGAAGAACTGACCTGAAGTTGTTGCTTCCATATCATCACCACGGATTCCCAAATTAGGAGGCCAGCAATCTCCAGAGTTTTGGTTTGCAGTCAAGATTTCGTTCTCTCTCTCTACCGGGTGGTGATCCGTTCTGTTGTGAGACTGAGAAGTGTAGTACCAGTCAAGAAGGTAAGGATGGTTCCTCTGATCTGAATCAATCAGGAACATGGAATCAGCGTGGTTGCCTCTCGCATGCGGATTTCTTGATAGGTCTCTGTATAACGGTGTTGACGTGCTGTTGCGAAGAATAGGGGATTCTCGCCACGCCCTACTAGGAGAAGAGCATGAGTGTCTTGTGTTCAGTTCTCGAAGCTTTTGGTCCCGGAATGTTCTGAGATTTGAAAGAAACTGTTTCCCAAGAGAATCTGATTCCCAAGAAGGATAACTACTTTGGAAACTGCAAAATAGATTGACACACTTTCATAGTTTAGAGAGAGGTCATAACACTGAATTTGGTGTGAGCAATTCAAATAAAAACGATGGCCAAACCTCAAGAATGATTTCTCCATTTTCCCCTGAGAGCTTCTCTGCTCACGAGATACATTACGTGGTGAAGCATATCTAATATTTCCATGGCTCTCAAAGTCAAAAGCACTAAAGCTGCAAGCAGAAAGATTAAAAAGGTTGAAAAGTGTTTTTTGAGAACAAACAATTTTATGTAAACTTCTTTAGAACCAATCATGGGCTTTTACCTGCAAACATTGCCTACACCTTCAATATCAACTGTATAATTCCTGATGAATTGCAGTATATCATCAACCCGCTGCAAAATGAATTCAAAATGTCTTAAACTTCTCAATAGTGATTGTGGGATCTATATACACTAACACTATTGATGTGGAAACATACCTTTGGCACGACAAACATCAGCAAAAACGGTGTGATGAAAATCGAAGCTATCTCCTCCAGTAACATCATTCCAGTATACTGCAGTGAATAAATCTCCATCAAGAATCATTTACAGATAGAAGTAAAAGAAAAATGTTTGCCATAAGATCATCAAAAACCTCAAAGAGAAGACATTTAGAGTTACCTGAAACAGAGTCTCTAGCTCCAAACGGACTTCGTCTTTGTTCTCCTTACCACGCCATCTCTTAGGCATATAGTGAGTGTGTTGGACAACCGTAGACATAGTTCCTACTGGGTTAAGGACCAAAAGTTCATCCGAAACAGCAGCCCGGCTTATAGCTGTAATAGCTCCAAATACAGCAGCATACCAGAAAAGATTGCGACCGAATACCTGCAAAAGTTGGTTAAACAAACTTTAGTAACCCAGATAATGTATACAGTTAATGCTTCTTAAGTCGAGTTCGGCTTTCTTACATGCCCCTCTAGAAGAGATTCTTCGAGAAACGCAATGATGATTAATACAGCAGCAAAGCCGCCAGACACAAACGAGACGAACTTTGCAATAATGGAGATGATAGGTGAGGGGAATTGGTTTAGGTATTCAGACGCGTGCTCTACACTGCTATTAATCCGGTGCTTGAATAAATGGTCAACCTGTTGTACGAACAAATAGGTAAGAGAAGGCAACAAAAGTCGATAAATTTAGTGGGCATAAAAGCCAGATGAAGGGTAACTACCTCATTGAACTCCCTGAAGAGCCACTTTGACAAATTGGACCATCTTCGAGAAGATGCAGTACTTGGATGATTGTAGAACTGTTCAGCATGCCTTAGGAATAGATACACCAACATAAAGATGACTAGAAATGGTGACAGCAGAAGCATAGCAAGCCCAACCACAAACAGCCGTTTCTTCAATGTTGTAGGATTTGAAACAAAGTCCCGTCTGACTCGAAAATTGCTGCAGAATGAAAACGCCTGAATTAGAGAAAATGACAATACTTAGCAAGGATTTTTCATCCCATGGCTTTACGTTTCAAGATAGCAGAAGGCACACTTTTTGTAGTATATATACATACAAATACTATACCAGGACAATCTCAGATCACTATGGTCTGACCAAGAAAAAGCAACCCATGAGAAATGAAACTACTTTATTCATCCCATTCCTCTATAGAAAAAACTCTTAATCTATCGCTTTGGCAGTTCATAAAATCCTATCATTTACAGTGTTACTAGAAAGCAGTTTTTAAGATTAGCTAGAGATAGGCATGGAGAATAATAGCATACCAGTCAAACATGCTCTGCAGTATGCACCAGTTAAGGGTCCATTCAAGGGTCTTTGTCAACACAAGGTGGTACCGTGTCCCATCTGGTGCAGATTTAGCTACTGGACCAGCACCAGGGATCCAATGGGAAATTGGGAAAGAAAGCAAGCCTTTGTTGAGCATCCCAATCAAGTAGTTTTCTTTCCGCATAAGGCGCATAACAATATCGTGAGCTGAAAGATCCTTAACCACACAAAGGCACTGTGAGCTTTGTAACTGAACAACCTTCTCCAGGACTGTTTCCCATGGCATAGTAAGGATTTCTTTGTCTGTGACATGGAGACTGCAAATATACAACCCAAAAAAGAAAATAAGCTATGGTCGAATATGTAAGTTTTGTTCTAGCAATAACCAACGTTAGTTTTGTTCTAGCTTAACTGTTAATAGCATGTTCCCTCTTCCAACTTACCTGTTGTAATAGAAGTGCCGAAAGTCCAAAGTATCTTTCAACTGAGCGAAGAACCTTAAGAAACAGAAGATCCAGTAGACAGAGAAGAGGGCCAAATATCCAACAATTATAGCAGTTGTGAGTGTGAAAGGGGTTAAAGGATGCAGATGGATAGCTTCTTTGACAAGATCACATGGCTTAGTTCCAGATTCAACCGCATCCATTCCACATTTTGCATTCTTAAGACCATGCCAATCAACATACAGCAAGAAAAACCCAGAGAAGCATATGATGAAGCCAAGACTCAGAAGCTCAACAGCCCACTTTACGATGATACACCAAAGGCCTTTGTCTCTATAGTAGCTGTAGAGTCTTTCGAAGAAGAGATCCAAATCAGCGATTGGTTGAACATTTAAGCTCTCCCCATTAAGAAGTCCCGATGGGCTCTCACTACCAGGACTTGGTACTCCTCCGTAGTTAGATAGCTCAATCTCGTGTGACACATTATGAAGCAATCCGGTAGTCAAGGACGATGATGACGGTTCACCACGTTGCCATTTGAAAAAGTTGAACACGTTTGGAGCCTGTTGCCCGCTGCTCATCATTCGTACACACAGACGATTGGCAGAAACAGCCAGTCCATTCCCCGTTTAGGAGTCCAGTGCCCAACAAGAATGCAGCTACAAATCCTGCATCGCATATGAAACCATGGATCAGAGACATGCAAACAAAAAGTGCCAATCACATATGATGAAGATTACCAATGAGAAACAAAGGCAAATCAGATCCTTAGAAGCAGAAGACAAACCAAAAATAGGAACTTTGTGGCATAACTTGCTAAAGACATGTTTCTGATTCCCATGATGACAGCTATCAACTACCCAAATTACTATTCAATTCAAAAGTTTCCTTTCTTATATGGACAATGCAACAAGTGCTTAGCAACGAAACGTTGCAATATGAGAAAGCACACAAACACAGTTTAGAGAGTAATCTATACTCAATTGATAATCCTAAACAAGGTTCACGCAACTATTGCACAGACAATATACCTTGATCAAAGTCAATTCCTTTAAACCAACTCTGTTCTTCCCATGACAAGAAGGGTATATCTACTTTTTTTTTTTTTTTGAACAACTAAGGGTATATCTACTATTCTACTATTAACAGCGATTCTAATCAGGAACCATTGAAACGTCAAACCCCAACGCCCAAAACCCATCAACTAACAGGCTAAACTCATCCAACCCATGAACTAATTCTCCCCTCAAAATCACTGTGCCGAAAAAAACCAAACTTTATAGATAACTACAAACAAAAAGATCAAAACTTTACCGGCGACCGACCAAAGGAAGAGCAAAGAGAAAGCAAAGTTGTGCAACCAGCTAGCGTAATATGTCTTGAAGCCGAAGCTTTAAGGAAGGAATAATCCAACGAAAGGCGAACTTTTTATCCCTTAGGGCAGTGGAAATTGGATGAAGAAGTTGAAAAGAGAGGAGCGAAATTGATCGACGGACGATTTTCGATTGAAGGAGAAGAGAATAATAAGAAGGAGAAATTGGGTTTGCGTGGAAGAAAAGAGGAGTGATAAAATATTGATCCTTTATGCTTGGAGGACTAAAATTTGGTTTTTGGATTGGGCTTTTCTTCTTCTTCCTCTTCCCTTGTCTTGCAGATGCTTAACCAAAGAAACGTGATCACACGAGACGCTTTTTTATTCTCTTCTTCCTTTTTTTTTTTTTTTTTTTTTTTCTTTTGTTTAGTTTACTTCGATCCTTGGTTTAGATGTTTCGGACCGACCCATGCGTTTCTGAACCGAACGGAACTAAAATACTAATTAGTTGATCTGGAAACTGAACCGTCCTTGATATGGTTTAAAAATTAAAACAGGTTCACCTTAAGCTTTTTCTACGTCCAAATAAACGCAAACAAAATCACACCATAAGAATATAAGATTATCAGACTTACCTTAAATATTAATAAATCAAAAATCTAAAAAGAAAAGAAAAAAATAAATGGAAATCCAGATTGGAAATCCAGATTGAAAATCTCTAGTTTTAGGAAACGAAAACAAAATTTGAAAGAGTTTTTTAATTGGCAAAAAGAAGGGGAAATTGCTCATTTTATTCCCCAAGTATTTGTAATGAGAACTTTTATTCCTCAACCATCACTTGCTCCCTTTAATTCCTGAAATGTGTGTTAACTGCACCAAAATTATAATTTAAAACTCAAACTTTTAATAATAAACATATAATATTAAATAAAATCATTAATTCATCATAATTTTCATTGTTAAACATAAAAAAAAAAAAATCTGTGAATCTTTTTGATGATTTTTTATAAAATTCAAATTAAAATTTTGATAGATTATGTGACACAAATCTTAAAATTAGCCCGGAATCCACCTGATTCAAACTAAATATCAATAAAAATCGCAAAACAAATTATTTAAATTATTGATTTAGATTTTTTTAAGATATAATGGTGAATATATTATGTATTTACAAATTTATTTAATGTTTTGTGTCTATTATTCAAATATTGTTTTTATTTTTGAAAGTTTGACTTCTTAATCATAATTTTGGACAGTCAACTCACATTTCAGGAATTAAAGTGAGCAAGTGATACTTGAGAAATAAAAAATTCTCATTACAAATAGTTGGAGAATAAAATGAGCAATTTCCCCAAAAAGAAGAAGAACTTTTATGATGGGCCAATTGTTTTAGGAGTACGGTCCATGTTTCCTGATGGACCAGTAAAGGACTTGTGTCGGGTTTTAGGAGTACCGGCCCTGTTTTATGATACTAGTGATACATACGAACCGTAGAGATGAATAAACAATTTTTTTTTCTTAATTACTAAGAAGTTATGGGCCAAAGTCCGTACATCCCTTTAGACTCGAAACCACAACATGTAATATTGGTTTCGTCCCAAATGGCACTCGATCCTGTGACCTCTAAGTTTTGCTTAGGATCCATTTACCAGTCGAGCTATAGCCGCTTGGTGAATGAACAACTTTACATGCACCAACAACACCATTTTTGAAAATCTCTTGTAAGCTTACTTTTAATAATATGCATAAATCAGCATCTTTTTTGGAATCGAACCTCAAACATCTTGCTGTCGAAGTATTAGTCTAAAATAACTCAAAATTTTAAATTCAGCAAAAGATCAAAACACTAAGAAAATTTCACACTGAAAAGACGTGGTTAACTACCTTTATTGATCTTAGAGTCTGTCCCTCAGTTGATACCCGTTTGCATTCTTCCTGTTATACCACGGAACATCCCATTTACACACCAAAATGATAGTTCCTCAAATCAAGACAATATATAGATATGACAAATTTGGTAGAGTAAGCAAGAAGAGAAAAACAAAATAAACCCTCAATATTTTGTTTTGACGTTGTAACCTTGTACAAAATGATTCAAGCTTGTGGCAAACAGTAATAGCTAAACAAAAAAGGGAGAAAAACAACATTACTGTATTATTAACATAATGAAGATTAATTCACCAACATTCTTTCACCTACTTCTGTAAGTATACTTTTACATGAACCCTAAGATCTTCAAACATCCAGAGTAATCACATAATAGAATCATAAGAGTTTATAGATGACTTACCTCCAGCCATTGTAGAGAAGAGATAGAGGTATTGAATCTAAGATAAGTGATTAGGTTTTTCTCCCCTTGCCTATGAACTTTATGTGTCTCTTTTAGGATGCCTTTACAATGGACTAAAGGCATATATTTATAGGTGGAGAGAGGACATAATTCCTCTTTAGGGTTTCCTTTTAATCTCAACCGTCCATCAAAGTAGAGATTATTAGGAAATACTCATTTATATTTAAGTTAATTAATTACCCATTATGTTATGGAATAGCAATAGCTCAATAGGAATACGGATTAATATAAGACCATATAAAAGGAAGATAAATTTATCTTACAACTTCATCCGATGATAATAATGTATGAAGTAGGGTAATGGTTTAAGCGCATGGGTTGGTCCTGTAGGGCTCCTAGTTCCATTCTCGGTGGGGAGAATGTTATACGCCATATGTAATAAGGTATAAGCAAATGTTAGTTCTGAGTCAGGAGAGGAATTAAAGCCCAAACCCAAACTCTTCCTAATCTTTTTAAGAAAAAAAATGAGGAGGAATAAAATATATGGAACTTTTATTCCTTCTCATATTTGATGAGAAACATTTCTACATTAAAATTTCCTAATCAATCAAAAATAAAAAGAAATGAACTTTACTTATGAATGGTGTAATTTTAGGGAATGTGGAGGAATGTTTTTATTCCCATCATTACTTGGTCACTATTCAAAGCCTAAGTTCTTAAATTTTTAAAGATTTTTCAAAGAATAAAAAATGAGGAAATAATTCTTAGTATTACCAAATGAGAATATGATAAACCTTTATATAGTATAGATTTGAAAATATGTACATATAACAACAGTGGAAAATATAGCATTTAGTATAAAAGTTGAAGCTTGTTGGTATATATTAGAAATGATGATTGAAAACAATTTTAGGATTAAAGTAAAGATATCTCATGATAAAATTTCCTAATGTTTAGTAAGAGAAAAATATTGAATATATCTAAAATATTAATTACAGTTGATTTGTTTGACTAACTGTATAGTTTATAAATAGTTATATTTTCTTATGATAATAATATTTCCCTTATGATGATCTATCTTTATATTCAAAGAATCTATAAATATTGAACTATGTACATTGTATGAGAGCATATACAAATTTCTCCAAGTAGGAAAATATCAAAGAAATATTGTTAATCTTGATGGGCCGCATGGGCTTCTCCTCGGTGATATCATCTCGCGGGAAGCAACGGCAGAATTTGGCGGGAAGAAACGGCAGAATATAGCGGGACTCACACGTGGCTCCTCTCTCTCTCCTCTGCGCGCCATATAAACCCTTCTTCATCTTCTTCATCGCTTCTCCTCTCTCTCTCTCTCCTCAACACACACTCTCTCTCTCAATCTCTGAATCTGAAGCTCATTGACTTTGTTGGAAAATGAGTGCATCAGGTTCTTCTGGATCCATTCCATTCAAATCGAAGAAACGTCTGATGGACTCTCCATGTCCAAAATCGAAACCCGGGATCCCTAATTCGCCTTCCGTATCCGTGCCCACACCGGAGAGGCCGCTGGAGAATATCCACACTAGATCCAGAAACCGATCTGTGGCTCTATCCGTGAAAGAGATTCGCCAAGCCGCTGGATCTCGTCGTAGATCTGACGATCCGGTGTCATCCGCCAGGGGGCAACTCTTGTTTTCCGATAACGATTCCTTTTCTTCGGCCTCTAAACGAATTAGCAATACGAAGAATGCTGAGAAGGACAAACTTCCGGAGAAGTAAGTTAATTTTTCTAGGGTTTTAGATGATTTTTCAATTTTCCCCCTTTTTGTTAATGTGATACTGATGAGATCTGGGTTGCTGCAGATACGAAAATCTGGGGAAGTTCTTCGATGCGTTAGACAGTTCGATCCGATTATCGAAATTGCGAGGTTCCAAGCCGACGTTTTTCAACATCTCTGGAAAAATCGAGGGTTTAACCGAAAGGTATTTTCCTGGAACATTTTCAATTTCACTCATGTTCATGCGCTCACTGATTGTCACTTATGGAATGTGATCTGAATTTACAATCAAATTTGATCTTTGCCTTTATACTTTACATGCTAGATAAGACAAAATCGTTATTTTAGATCTGTTTTTTAATAGATTCACTAATAACTCCTGTAGATTTTAGAAATTCATAGTCATCCCAATTTCTTAAGTCAAACTTTTGATTTGAATCTATTTGCAGGAGGTTTTGCTACAATCACTTGGCTCAACTAAAGCATATATTGCCAGAGGCAATCGAGATCAAGAGAGTATTGATACATGACGAAAGAACAAGCTGCATGAAACCAGATCTTCACATTACACTCAACGCAGATGCAGTTGAAGATAGTGACAAATCGAAATCAGAGAGTAAGAAGATCCCACTCCGGAAAGTGTTCAGGACAAGACTTGCAGATTTTGTTAAAGCTCACCCTCAGGTATATTTTTATTCCCTGTGATGGGACATAAAAATGCGTTCTTTACACGGTTTTGGTTGTTACATTGTATGCTAATGGAGGTTTTATATGTGTAGGGTGATGAAGTGCCAGAGGAACCACTTCCAGAGCTGTACAATAGAAGGAAACCAAATGAAGAGTCAAAGGATGAGGTTAAGAGTGTTAGTTCTGTCATGGAAGAGATGGCTTCAATCCCAGCTGCTACACTGATTTCATCGTTCATGAAAGTCCCATCAATCCCAGTCAAAACAGCTTCGAGCCCTGTTAAACCAACTTCGTCACCACCTCTAGTCAAAACAGCTTCAACTCCTGCTAAACCAAGTTCTTCTGAGATTAACATTGCGTCAACTCCAGTCAAACCAGTATCAAATCTGGCTAATGTACCTTCAACGCCGGCTAAAATCGACTCAACACCAGTTATTGTTGATTCAACTCTAGCTAATGTGCCTTCAACGCCGGCTAAACCTGAGTCACCACCAGTTGTTGTTGCTTCGACTCCACCTGAATTTGCTTCAACTCCTGCCCGGCTGATCAGTACGCCATTGACAGCTCGTCCGCTTAAAAGAAGCAGTGGTTCTGTAAATCCGGATGATGTTTCTACTGACCCACCGGCTAAGCTCGCAAGGCGTTCCTTGCTAAGCTCATTGGACGTTACATCTTTTACGGAGGATGAGAAAGCTATGGATGTGATAGATGATTATGCCATCGATCAAGTGCCAGAGGAAGATGCATTTAGCGATGATGAAATCCTCAGCATACTTCCTGCTAAACTTCGACAATCGGTAATACATCTCTTATACAGATTCCCTTTGCTCTCGTAATCACATTATACTTTTTAGCTTGAGATCAAGATGAACTAACTGAGAGATTATTCCATCTTGTTATTTCTAATTTCAGATTAAAGAACAAGAGAGAAAAGCAATTGAGGAGCAGAATCCAGCAATCTCGGAGGCAAAGAGAAGGAGAAAGATGATTAAGTGCCTGCCTAAGCTTTTCAATGTCATCCACTACTTGATTCAATCTATAAGGCGTTGGGTTATCACAAAAGAAGAGCTTGTGCACAAGGTTATCGCCGGTCATTCTGATATTACGGACAAAAGTAAGCTCTTTAACCTCTTGAGTACTTTAATATATCAACTTCTTCGGCGTTTCAAAACCATCCTAACTTTTCTTGTTTTTCTCTGTCGTTTTGCAGGAGAAGTTGAAGAACAACTTGTCTTAATGCAAGAGCTGGTCCCTGAATGGATATCTGAGAAAAGATCATCAAGTGGAGATTTACTAATATGGTGAGTTTAACGTCTTATAATTACTTAACACAAACTTTTTTTGTTGTTGTTTTGGGTTTGATCTGATGCTCTTCTAAACATTTCTGATATGCAGCTTCAACAAATTGGCATCTTCCCAAACAATCCGGTCGAGTCTAGAAGAAGAAAACAAGAAAGCCAACGCCGCTCCACAGCTTTCTTAAGATTATGAAAGTTTATTTATTAATGAGAAAGGCGTGTAGAGAGTAGGTTAGATTATGAAGTTCAAGCGTGGAAGTATAACTATTTAACAAATTATACTGATTTAAGGTAAATCCTTTTTTGGCTGCATTTTCGAAATCTGTAGAGATCTTGACATTGCTCTTTATCTTCAAAGTTAAAACGACAAAAGTGTAGTGTTTTGTGCATTTAGGAAAACATGTTATGATTGAATCGCCATTTTGAGCAGAATTCTTAAACTAATGTTTTGCTAATGATAATTTACAGAATCAACGAGTTAAAACAAAGGACTATGAGTCTATGGCACTGGCAAAATAAAAGAAGAAGCAAGAAGGATCAATGAAGGCACAAACACACAAAGTAAAAGCAACAAATAAAAGGGAGCGAGTAGTAGAAGTGTAGAACTGGCTAGAAAATTTTGAAGTCACTGTCTGACTGTTTCAATTTCCTTTTATTTTACCAGTTAAAATTCAGTTAACATGTAACTACATTTTTTTCATATATTCTTATTAAATTTTAGAAATCTTGCATAATTATATACTGTTTTCAAGAAAAATGTGGTACTTGTTTTAAGTTTAACTCGTTGATTCTGTAAATTATCAGTCCAAATATATATTATTTGTTTGGAATGAAAAATGTCGTATTTGTTTTAATGAAAATAAAAAAGATATATATATATATATATATATATACTGTATAACTTCTTCTAGTAAAAACTAAAAAGGCTCCCTTTGTTGAGTAAGTGCGAGCTCTTCTTCTCCCTCAACAACAATGCCCGTCAAATGGTAAGTAAGCTTTCTCGTCAATTGCAGGAAAAGGTGAAAAATCGTTCCTGAAATTCGGGGTATTTTAATTCGTTTTGTTTCAATCTCTCTGGGTTTATTCTAGGGTTTTGCACTGGCAACCGAATCAAGGATCAACAGTTAGCAGCCAAATCCTGAACGAAGCTGCACAGTGCGTAGAGAGCATCAATGGCGTCAAAGAAGGAAGATGGAAAGCCACTCTCAACTATTACAGACCCATTTTACGAGGTTTCTTCCCGATTTTTCTCTCTCCTTTCTCCTTCCTTCTTCTTCATCATATTTGCCTTAACCTTGAGTGAGATTTGGGAGCAGATCAAACGAATCAATCGGAGCTGCCGCGTGATTTTCTAGGGATATCGTTAGCGGATGAGCCGAGCAAGTACTATTTCATCATCAGGTCGCAGAGGATTGTGGTGGAAGCAGATTCGTCGATTCAATTGATTATGGAGAAGCTTCAGTCTTACAAATCCAAAGTCGCGCTCTTCTTTGAAGGCTTTCAGTACCAACTCGGTGATTTTAGACTCAGAGCTGGTAAAGTTGTTCCTACTCATTCCGAGAATGTTAGAGGCATCGTCATGGAGGTATTCTCAAGCTTATTGATCTTGTTGATGCATCTAGATTACTCATATTTGTGTGTTTCTTGAAACGTTTTGGTGATGGATAGTTGATGATTTTGACAGTGTTAAGATAGATGATGATGAACATTGAACAATGTTGATGCAGTTAGAAGATGAAATCATTTATTTAATAACAAAGGTTTGTGACCTTGTGTGGTGTATTAACTGTGTATATGAAGGTGGAGTATCTGCCAATATCCTCAATGGAAAAGGCAAGAAAAGTGATGGAGGAGTTCATGGAGATATGGCATGAAGCTATGTCCAAAAGGTCGTTGCCTGGTAAGTTCGGCAACATTGAACTCAACTTTGCCGAGTTTGGACTTGCAGACACATACACTCCACAGCACACCGCTGTTCGATATGCTCATGTCATGGCTCACATGATTGCAACGGTGCAAGCTGTGAGAGGCTAGCAAATACTAATATACTTTAGAGACTTAAAAAAGTTAGTGTATTGGCCGATATTAATTATGTCCGTAGTGGTACGATGTTTGAGTGAAAGTCTCAATTTCATAACCCTTTTTGTGTGATGGTGTCTACAGTTTCTTAGCTTCTTCTGTGTCATCCGCATTTGATTTGAATTCCGGTTAGTTTTCGCAAGGTTTTAGTTCCTTCTGTGATTGTGAGAATCTTGAATATTTCCATCATATCCTATAACTGGTCTCTATAGAATTGTTTTGTATGCATTTTGTGTAACAACTCGTTAGCATATTATTCATTAAAACACAACTTTTTTAATAGGAAAAAAATCTCACGTAAAAGCTAAAACAAAACCATATTCTATGCTTGTAATAAAAAGGACTAATAGATAGAAAATAAGAAAACTGAAGGTAAAAACTAAAACAGTGCAGAACAATCGGTGGGTTTAAAAGAAACCACCATTGAGGAAGGATCATAACCCACCAAAAAATTGTTCTGTGCTCTGTTCCCAAAGATGGACACTTGCATGGGATCACCATCCATAAGCGCCAGACAAAAGCTTCCTCCTCCTCCCATGTTCACATACACATTGTTATTATCCAACACAAGATCCGCACCGCCGGAGAAGTGCATAGTAATCACCGGGAATATATCAATGAGATTCGAATAGTAGCAAAGCATGCCGTATGTGGAAGGTGCTCGTTCCGCTGTCACAACGCTTTCCACTGCCGCCTTCACTTGTTCCAAGTAGCTCCCGGGCAAGAACGTGTAAGTGGTTCCAGAGTCTATGACAATGTTCCCGTCTGTGGCGTAGAACGGTGTCCCCAGCGTCTCAACACGGTTATCATTAACACTGATTGCGTCTAGGTTTAGGTAGTAGTTATTCGGTTTATCCGCCTTTCGAAACAAATCGGCTGCTACTGTCCCATCTCCTGCTACAATAGCGTTCTCTCCAAAGTTGATCTTGCTAGTTCCCGTTCCGGAGAAGCAATAAGACAAAAGACCTAAGAATCTTTCTCCCATCTGAGAGGTGAGCGATGTAGCTGCCCAGTTTAGACCAACAATGCCTGAAGTGGTCGACACAAGCCCTGAGTTGTTGTGGCCACAGCC